TTTGATGATCTGAAACATTAAAGTGTGACAAACATGCAAAAAAATAAGAAATCAGGAAGGGGGCCAACACTTTTTCACCCCACTGTATATATAATTTATTATATATTAATTATTAGTACATATATAAAAAATAATATAATTAATAATTGTAATCCAAATAAATCATTGTATGTAATAAATATTTTATACTAAAATGTGTATAGAAATGAATGATTATATGGCCCATGTATATACTTCTTGAACTGAATTTTTTGGTTTGTGCAGGACCACCATCAGAATTAAAAGTCTGCCCGTGCACACAGCTTAGAGGGAACGTTGCTTGCAGTTATTATTGGATCTTGTTGATGTAATTGTTTTGTTTGATGTGCAGTAGATGTCATTATCTGATTTGCTTTACTTAAGGATCATTCATGAAGATGGCTACTCAGATGAGGAGTGCAAGCAGTATAAAGTTGTGGTTTATAGCAACACTATTCAGTCCATCATCGCCATTATCAGGGCCATGGGCCGCTTAAAGATCGACTTTGGGGATCCTGCAAGAGCGGTAACATAAATACATTTAAAACGCACACAGAATTGCCCATAAGCAATCATGTATTACTTCTCTCGTCTAGACTGGTCGTCTAGTGCTGGAATTTGAGTACAGTGATGCCTGTAAAATTCACCCTCTGGTCAACCCAAACAGAGTTTAGTACATGGAAAAATTTACTATTTCTAAATACACTAAGAATCCAGTGATGTTTTCCCACAGTGTTATTCACCAAATGAACAAGGAAGAATGATATTTAAACTTATTTATATTCAGGAATATACATAGAAATAAATAGCATTATCTACCCATATATGTTTTAAAGGGGTCATATGATGTTGCTAAAAAGAACATTATTTTGTGTATTTAGTGTAATGAAATGTTTATGCGGTTTAAGGTTCATTAAGGTTAAAGGAAAACACATACTTTAATTTTCCACATACTGTACATTATTGTTTCTCTTCTATGCCCCGCCTTTCTGAAACACGTCGATTTTTACAAAGCTCATCGGTCTGAAAAGCGAGGTGTGCTCTGATTGGCCAGCTATCCAGTGCGATGTGATTGGCCGAATACCTCAAGCGTGTGACGGAAATGTTACGCCCCAACCATACTGTGATGCCGTGTCCCGGCCGGAGCGAAGAGACAAAAACATTAAAACCCATTATAAACGAGGCATTTGTTGCATCCAGTGGGGACATAATTACGGATTATAATGATTTATACTGTCTTTTTACGCGTTGCGTTGCATTGCACAGCATAAACATAAAACCATGTCTGCATTTGTGATCGGAGAAATGACAAACAACAAGCGCTACTCTACACTGCTCAAAACTCGCATTTGAATCGTCAGTGGCAAATTCTTTAAATATGAAAAACTTACTTACAATCTGAGTCAGAACAGCCGGCATTGTACTCTCCCAGGAAACAGTCCTCCATAAAATGCGCTGCACACATCTGAATATTTGGGTTGAACTGTTCTGGAACAGTGTTGTAAATACAACTTAA